CCCCCCCCCCTACAACCTAATCTGTGATTAATTAATTGTAATTAAAATTGATGGAATCCATATAATAGAATCCCCCTAATCCCGCACCCCCGCAACCCCACCACCTCAATCCAAAACTGGGATACGCTTTCCGCACTCGACATCCCATTCCTCAGCGCCGCATTATGCTACATCCATTCGCACGGACACTTGCCTCCGCGCCTACGGTCAAAGGAAGATTTGAATGATGTGTCGGAGTCCGGAGTGTCAGAGGAGGTTGTATCTCGGATGAGGGAGGTGGTTAGGGAACGGGTTCCTGGGTACTTTCTTGATACTAAGGTCAATTCTACTTCTGAGGATGGGGATGGGGATGGGGATGGTGTCAGGACGATCGTCTTCCTGGAGGGGTTTCTGCTCTTCGCACCCCCCAAGGAGGAAGATCCGGACCATGGGTTGAGGGATGTGCAGGAGAAGATGGATGTGAGGTTGTTTTTGCCGGCGAGGTATGATAATGTTAAGGAGAGGAGGGAGGGGAGGAGTGGGTATGTGACTATTGGGCCGGCGCCGGTACATCAGGGTAGTGAGGGTGAGAGTGGTGATAGTGGTGGGGGTACGGAATTGCCGCAGAGAGGGTCGGTGGAGGTGGATGTGGAGAAGGAGGATGATCGGCCGCCGCAGAATTTCTGGACGGATCCGCCGGGGTATGTTGATGATATTGTGTGGCCTAATTATGTGCAGGATCATGCGTGGTTGTTGTTGCCGGAGAGGGACGAAGGGTCGACGGAGTGGAGGAATGCGGACACGCAGGAGCTGGTCAAGCTGGTGGGACAGGGAGTGAATCTGAGAATGGATGCGGGTGTAACGGTGGCTCCTGGACAGGGAGAGGCGTCTATGACGGACATTCTCGAATGGGCGGTCGAGGAAGTACTCAAACACATTGCGGAAACAGAAGGACAATGAGAACCTGGTTCATCTGTAGTACCTAACTACACAGAGTACCCCCCCCGAAGCCACTCCCTTGTCGTTCATATCAGTACCTATTCCTCTTTTCCATCTTTCCTATTATGCGACAGTCTCGCCGTGAATCTCACTTTCCACTGGGCCCCGCCATCCAAGCCAGTAATCAATCCTATCCCGAAAAGTTAACTCATGTTCAGATTGCGGTGACTCAGGGCTTTGCGGTGCAGCTGGTGCCGACCTCGTAGACTCGTGGCCCACTTTCGTGGTCTCAGCAACCATTGTTACCTCTTCGTTTGCCTCCACAGAAATACTGACTCCTGGCGTTGGATCATCTTTGGAATTGCCTTCCCATGACATATCGGGCTGACCGATGTAGCTTGGCCAATGTACTGTCGTCGGTTGACTCATGTTAAGGCTTTCCGCAGCCAAATCGGCAACAGTGGGTGTTGCCTTAGTTGGCGAAGCCACAGCATCAATGATGGTATTTTTGAGCCAGAACGCTAAAATGGTCCCCAGAATATAGATAGCGCATATGAAGATGAGTCTCATCTTCTGTATCATGTTATCTGATCTTGGAATGCTCTCATTTGTGCAACCATCCAATGGCTGTTTGTCCTCACCAGGTAGGTCCGCGACAACAGCAACGGCACTTTTATCTGCAGGCTTCTTCGAGCCATCAATTCCCGGTTCCTCCATTTCGTAGCCACGAGAACGCTCAATACGTGAGACTGATACAGCCTCCACTTTTTCGAATGTTCGTCGGAGGTGGTGTCTAACACGGTCACTCGGGCTGGTAAACCCCGGATAAATTCGTGGGAGCCAACTGATTGCTTGGTGTTGGGGAAGCCGAACTGTCCAGTTCACACAAAACAGTTAATAATCTGTAGGTAAGCAGAGCCAATACCGACGTTCTCCCTTGCTGGAATATGAATCATCTTTAGACCGCTTTCTTGAGCATCAAGGTTACTGCGGTAAACACTATCTGGACCCCCGTCGACAGAGAGAATGAGACAGCATGTTTCGGCCCAAAAGCAACGGTTGTGCAGTCTGACAGAGCAGACGGCGTGGTATGTTGCCTGCAATTCTGGCGGACTTTCAGCTCTGGCAGAGGCCACTGCATATTCGGCTCTGATCTCCTGGTGCACCGTAAAGTCCTTGACAATTCCGTAAAATGTCCGGTCGCACCTTCGCAACGGGATCACAAGGTCACCCGCATAGCTGAACTCACCCAGGAAGCAATTTTCCACGACCTTATGTCTCTGTAAGTTCGTGGTGCGGAACTCGAGACCATGTTCCTCTGGCATGAGAAAGAGAAGGTACCCAAACTCGCCAGTTACCAACTTAGGTAGGCCTTGGATTACTAAATCATTCCATCCGCTCTGCTTTCTTTGCCACAGGGACACGGATACAGTAACAATGAACTTGTAGTGTCCTGGCTGAAGTTTGGAAGGATTCTTGACTATTAAAGTACCACTGTCAATAGTCAAAACTGGTTCGCAGTGTACATTCGAGCGTGACTCGTCATCGATTTGTGTGGAGGTTCCCTTTTCGTCCGTAGTCTTTTCATGAGAAGGTTGCGGTATGGTGAGCTTTGGAAGTAGTCGAGGCTCTGTAATTTCCTTCGGTTCGCTATCAGCTACCATAAATGCCTCCCTGGGGCTGGAAATGGATAGTGGCGCTTCTTTCACAGCTGGAACGGACAGTGATGAGCCCGCATTTGAACGTTTCCTGGAGGGGCCTTTGCGCACTTTGCCGGATGCTTTTACGGTACCTTCATGTGAAGGCTCAGGTAACCATGTAATTTTATCAATTGAAGAGAAGTCTGCATTGACTTCACCGAAGCTGGACCGCTCCATCACTGGCCGTTCAAGTATACAATCTGGTCCTTCGCCCGTGTCTGGGTGCGCTGGTGATGAGTCGAGAGTAGCACAGGCATCACTGGCCTCGAGCTGCATATCACTTGCTATTCCCTTGACCTCAAAAGCACTGGCTATACCCTTATGGTGCATACTGCTGGAAGAAATATCTTGTGTTATATGGTCACTTTGGGCCCCGCTGGGCGGATCATTGTGCCTTTCCTTCGCAACGGAAACTGGGTGTCTATCGTGGTCTGCCCAGCCCTCAAGTATTTCCCTTTCATGTTCCGGTTTTGCAGGACTGATGTTGGTAATATGATCCTTCCGCGTAGCTTTCCTACTATGATCCTCCGTATCCGAGCCCGGCGGAGAGTCCGTCAGGCCTGCGGCAGCAGCACTTCTTTTCCCCAGATTATGCTGCTTGATAGCATCAATAATCCTAGTATACTCATCGCTAATATCGGATACAGATGACGTATGAGCCGAAGGCTGACCCAGCTGATCGGTTCCTATATGGCAATCAGAGTGATCACCAGCAGTCCCATCAACTGAGGATACTAAATCTCGAGCCGAATTCTCGATATTTGCGCGAACATGTCCCTCAGAAAGCTCTGGACCAGATATTGGAGAATGTGCTGGGTAAGAGTCTGTTGCTGTAGAAGAAAAGGCGAACAAAGGACTGGAAGGGGAGCTCGAGCTTGACCAAGTACCATCACTATACTGGTCAGGCTGAAGCCGAACCAATTGTGTATTGACGATAGAAACTCCGGTAGATCTGACATTCAAGATGGACAGCTGCGTGTTGGGGATGCAATGGGCCTAAGTTCGACGAAGGGGAAATTTCTCGATGAGCAATGGATAAAGAACAGTCATAGGGATGTATTCAGCTCACCACCATAGAGATTCTGCAGTTGACGGGCTCATCTAGGCTGCCGCTCCAGGTACTTCGAATATCCAGGTTGGAGACCTCCAGAGAGGCCTGGGGCGGAGATACTGGACGGAATTCGTCTTCGTAAGAAGCCATGATCAGAAGAGTGATTGGTTTGACGATGCGTTGAGGTAAAAATATCAGAGCAGACTCGGGTGGACGACAACACAACTGCGTGTAAGCAGAATGATTGTAAGAGCAGAATGGGAGCAAGACTGAATGAGTGAATGCTAGCAACTGTGGAGTGAAGAGTGAAGGCGACGATTTAACGAGGGGAAGAAGCCGGTTGATTTGCGCTCCAGTTGGGAAGCTCCCCCAAAAAGGAAGGCAACACCCGGCCTATCCTCAGGCAGCCCAGCCCACCTTTAGTCTGCGAATATAACTTCTGTGCTGGAAGGAATAACTCCAGCTGAATTGTTCTGGGATTAACCATTTTAATAATAACGAGAAGTGGCAGCATAACCATTAAGCTACCCATCTCAAGTCAAATTCTGTCAAGTTAATATGTACATCGAAGTCAACCGTCCAGCCATCATCCCGTCATCACTCGATCCAAAGCCGTAACCATAACATAATAACGGGGAATAGAAATAACAATCAAACACCTGTAGTATGGTTATCCCATTTTGAATCCCCGAGGCGCCATTTATCCCCAGAGCCCGATTCTTGTTCCCAGTAAAAGCAAAACACCCGTCCAACTGTCTATCCAAGGAGGTAAAAAGCAAAGAGAGAGAAAGAACAACCAGAGCAAAATCGACCATCGATCAAGATCACGAGCAACCGAGCCATAGTAGCCTAAGCACTCCGAAACCACTTATCGCGGGGTCCCATTCGCTGAAGCAGGTTGCTCAAAGGACGCCTGGCCAGGCGTAGAACCGTACCTGTCCACTTCATTGGCAGCAATAGGTTGTGAAGGAAGGATCGGCGTCGCTGCTTGAGAAGACTGATCGAAATAGCCTCGTGCCGCTGCACCGTTGGTTCCTTGAGCAAAATTTCGATTCCGTTGTTGCAAAGGAGGAAGGATTGTGGACCCAGTCTGGTATTGCGAACGAGGGTAGCTTTGTGGCATCATTGCTCCCGTCGAGTCCGCTGTCTATCCAGAATAATATACGGTTCTTAGCTTCTCGTCCTTAACGACGGGTGGTAGGCGGAGTCCATACAGGAGTACCAGGCGCGTTGACCATTCCTAAGGACTGCATCGTGGCCTGCTGGCTGGATCGACCGTGTGCCCCAGGGTCTTGCATCTGGGGTACCTGAGTGGAGGACGGAATTCCGTAAGACATCTGCCATATTGTTAGCGTCCTGCTTAAAAAACCCCGGCCCTGGAAACGACGCTTCGTGGGGGCGCTGCCGTTCTCTCAAGCCGGTCTCTTAAACAACGAATCGGGCAGACGAACCGCATAATCTGGAACCGCCGTGTGCCCGGCAGGGTAGCCTTGCATCATAGGAGTTGCGTAGCCGCCTGGCTGATTGTAGATCGCCGTTTGAGGGTACGTATCCATCTGACGCATCCGCCCATCCGTGTCATACATTCCCCGGGTCCCAAGATCTATAGATGACATTCGCGGCCGCTTACTGGGGTGTGTCTGCTGTCCATAGTACCCGTAATCCCGACTCGTCGTCGGGTAAGCGCTGAACGCGTTGCTTGGCATTTGGATCGAAGAACGATCCGGCGAGCGCGGAATCGGCTGCGGATACTCCTCTGGCCGGGGGACAGGTCGTTTGCTGTCTCACTGGTCAATCATACAAAACCACTTCTCGCAGGTTTCCCAGCCACTGGGCTACTTCACTCACATCAGTGTTCGTGGCTCCTTTCTAATTCTCAACTTCACACCTTGGTCCGCGAAAGATCTGGACAAGAACGTCGACTCTGCCATGCCCGGAAAACTTTTCGGCGGGTACACTGTACGGGGTCAGGAGCTGTATTCTCATGAACAGGGGTTCGCGGGGAAGTGAACGAACCGGTAAATCTATCTGTGATGATTGACTTCAAATGGGTTACGACGTCCCTTCAACCGCCGCAAAATCAGCATGCGCTTCACACAGGCTGTGGAAAGCTTGTTGGGAGCTACCGCGAAGCCAAAAGGAAACCTACTTTCGCATTTCGAAGAGAGTGAACTTGAGCCGAAAATCTCCCTCGATCTTTACTGACAAGTCCCCCCAAACGAAGAATCCGCCATCTGATCCAGATCCAGTCAGTAAGCCGATTTAAGGCCTGTTTTCAGGCTCCCTCGAGGACCCAGCTTACCAGTATTATCCACATCTTTCAACCTGTGGAGAGACGAAACCAGTGTGCCGGTCAGAGCGGTGGACGGGGCCACGGGAACCGGATTGTCCTCTGACGCGTCATACAAGCTGCAGCACATAAAATAATAAGGGCTCTGCAAGTAATGCCTATCGAGGTTTGTCAGTGGGCTGAGTTCACCAACACAACACAAATCTCAAGCGCGAACACCTACTGCGCGAGATAGGTCCCCTCCTCTCTCACTCGAATCTGCACAATCGGCGGTGGATCTACTGGCTTGCGCTCTGCAGCGGGAAAACAGTTCCCAAGTCAACTTCTGCTCGTCCGCTGGGGGCTGCTTTTCAAGAGAAGGATGGAAGAGACTGGCAAAGCGGGCGATTCCACATACCTTTCTCCTTCCCACCCGCCACGCGCGCCCGGTTGGGCTGCTGGCGAACGATCAGGTCAAAGTCGGAGCTGGTAATCATAGTCAGTTGAATGCCCTGGGTAGCTGAGTAAGAGTTGGGAAGTTATTTTAACGAGGTCCAGCAAACTGGGGAGGACAAACCTCTGAGAATCGCGGGCAAGGGAAGCGTCCGGAAACGTCGACGCACTCATCAAGGCGAGCTCTCAAGGATCGAACCTAAGCAAATACGGGAGCCAAAGGATCCAAATCGGATAACCGCAAGAACGGACAGCTGTGAACCACGTCTGAACAACAGAAGGTGGCCAGGGGAAAAGTGAGATATGATGAAGAAACAAAGAATGAACCGATGGATTAACAGCAGGGAAGAAGAGTTCGGGTCTCTGGAACCTAGCAGCCAGCGACTTGTGGTTCGACGAAGCACTAGAAGAGAGAATGATACACGGTGGGGGTGAAAGAGGGGAGTTGGGGTTGGTTAAAGATGGGACACGACGGTATGATTGACTAGTTAGTCAGTCCGTAGCAGCTGGAGCTGGACCTTCGACCCAACTTCCGGAGTGGAGAATCCGTAGGAAAACACCGTCTGGGCTGCCACTTGCGTCGGGACGCTGGGAAAGATGGCCGAAATTGCAGTAGCACCGTCAAGTAGTTTTCAAGCTGCAATGAGGCGAATGCGGTACGAAAACGGCGCCGAGAAGGAAGAAAAAGATGGATGGTGTCGTCAGAATGCAAGCGGCAAGAGCCAGCCGAGCACGGTTCCAGACAAACCTTAACCAGCCAATTCGACCCAAGTGGATTGCTAAGTAAGTTGCTTTGCTTCCTTTTCCACTTCTTCTTCACTTTTGACTGGACTGCCTTTTTCTTTTGACTCTTATAGGGGAAGAGAGCTTCTTGAGTTTGCGGCTGCTGCTGTTGTTGCTTGCTGTTGCTGCGGCTCCGATTCGAGAAATAATGTAGTAGTAGAAGTAGTAGTAGAAGGGTGTTCGTCACTATTCTTTATTTTCCTCTTTTGCTTTTTTTTCCCCTTCCCTTCTCACTCTTTTTTTTCTCCGATTAAACTCTTTTGGTTTTCTCTTTTTTTCCTTCCTTTTTTTTTTTTCTCCCCTCTCTTTATGTGTTGTTGGGTCTTGTTCTTCTTCGCTTGTTTTTGCTTGTTATTCAAGGATTCGCTTTTTCTTTAAAAAATTTTTCCTTTTTGTTCTTTCGAGGCCTTTTTCAGTAATGTATTTTTTTTACCCTTGGAGGGATATTCTTCACGTGAGGATGAAACGTCGTGGGTGCCTGGCCAATCTAGTTCTTTTGGCTCCTTCACCTGAAGAAAATTCCGGGAATCCAAATGGTGCTGTGCTGCGACCGTGGTGTCTGTCTGGGTCATTCAATGGACGCCCGGGTCTAGACGTCACAGATCGCGCGGCCGAGTAGAGAAGAAAAAAAAAATATTAAGGGAAAAAATCACAGACCAACTCGAGCGGAAAACAAAATAATTTTCGCGCCCCTCCTTCGAAACAAAATTTGCCCAAAAGTCAAATGAATAATAATAGTAGCAGCAGGCAAGCAAATAGTAGTTTGAAGCGAGCGAGCACTAGGTGTGGCGGGATTGAACACCGCCCAGCGATCAGACGGTAGCTGAACGATGGGTCAACAAAAGTCGCCTCTGACAGGTCTCTGACGCACAAAAATCCACGAAAATATATGCGTGGTGCCCGAGGGTGTGTCAGAATTAGGAAGTCTAGGGTAAAAATTTACTGGAAATCAAGAGGACAGCCAGCTGAAGGGTGAACCAGACAAATGGCCTAGTGGAGCTGTACCGGAAATCGCAGAGCAACGCCGGCCACTGTTCGGCCGTCGAATGGTATCGTTCCCAGTCACTTCAACCACGGTTGGGCTTGCGGGCTAGGGTGTTGTATCAGCCTTGACGATCCGACAGGAACCGCAGCGACATGGAGATGATGCGCACATTGGCAAGTCCCGAGAAGGAAAAATGCGAGGGAGGGGAAATGACAAAAAGTTCGCATCCAAACTGCGGCCACCTGCGCAAGACTCAAAGTCTACCTCCCTCCTTTCTAGGCTGGATCGCCTGAGAACCAACAACAGACCACTGGTTCGAGTTAGGCACGAAATCCACCGCGTTTGCGGCAAGCCACTACCCCCTTCCCCGAGCAATTCCCCAACCCACACGCGCAACGGCGTGGTCTCGTGCGCGTGGAGATGGAGCCGGCTATGCAAGTGATCAGACCCGTATCTAGGCGCCACGCAGGGTCTCCAGCTCTTGATTTGGCGCCAGTGAAGTTGTTTGATGCTGGTCGGTGCGCGCGTCTAAAGTCTCCAGTCAGACTCGTACTGTATCGTCGTTCCTTCAGCACTCGACTGAGGAAGAAGCCAGTTATCTCTGCGCTGGTTTGAGAAGAGCGACGCTCATCCGTAGATAGATAGGCCCCTTAGTCCGTC